AACTCTTAATAATTACCATTACGTCAATTCTGAATTCAATTTAATATCGTCATTGGTTTTATTAATTAAATCATAGGTAGCATTTATTAACAATGCTCGCTTTTTATCTTTCTATCAGTCACATTTTAAAGAATCGACTCTAACCAGTTCTCTAATTATCAAAAAATTGAAGAAAGAAATCGATTGAAGTAAAAGACTCATCAACAAACTAGGAAAAGATCGTATTTCTTTCATTGCTCGAAAGAATGCATCAGAAAATGCTACTGAAATATCAGTGGATGCAAATAAAGTGGAACCGTGAAATATTTGTTAAGATCTCGAAGCTGTGGGCGAGTGTTTATTGGCGTCAATTGAAGTGGTCACGATGGAAAAATTAATAACGAAATAAGGAAGAGGAAACGGATCCTGTTTCGCGGATTGAAATTAGATCTTTTGTGAGTAAATCGCGCGTAAAATCCCGTGCCGGAAGTCTCGGAAGAATTAATATATTCAAAGGAAATATGACAAGTCTGCATAAAGAAGAGGGAAGCCAGGAAAGGGATGGGAGGGCTGCCGAAGAAGGAAAAGTTCTCCGCTTCTTGAAACTTTGTCTCAGATCTTCTTTTACAGGAATTTTGTTGGATAAGATCTTCCTGGCAGATATAGTTAATAATGTATGCACCGTAAAATAGGTTATAGAAGCTTCGCGGCGCGGCGTAGCTAACCTTTCACCGGGAATGAATAACATTTCTTGCTCGGAGCTAATTAAAGTTGTTTGCGACTCTTTCGAAACTGATGCTTTGAAACGATCGTAACTGTTCTGATCCGTCCGAACTCGGATCTAATTGCGAATTTTCTGCAGACACATAATAATGAGAAACACTCGTTTAATGTTGCACTGTATTCAACAACACGGGAATGATTATTGTTATTGTTATTGTACGATCACAATTATGCGAAAGTCGCTCGTTAGTCGATGTAATAAAATTTGCGTATTAATTGCGATGGTACGAACAGAATCGTATTTTGTTTCTGGAACCAAATGTCGACGGCGCTGGAAATTGTTTTAACGATGCAGTCGAATAAATATTATGCACGGAGCATCGAAGTTAAATTAATTAATTTTGTATATACAACTTTTACCCCTTACGATTGATTTAGGCGACAAGCTTGATGATGGCGACGTGTCTGTTAAGCCTGCGTAGGTGAAAAGTTGCATGATTTCATGTGACGAATAAAAGATAGGACAAGATTTCTGTTCAAGAACATCGTCAATTTTTTAAACGAGACGGTATATTTTTGTTACTGCAATAATATAACTCACAAAAAAAACGAATTCATTCATGTATAATATCGTGACTTATAGATGGCCTTGAATACTGTAAGTCACGTTTAAAAAAATAGACAATGACCTTGAAAGCTCGACTTAAAATGAGCTCGAAGAAAAATGTTACCCTATCTTTTATATCCGTGCCACGAAGTCATGCAGTTTCTCACCTGCGCATTCTTTTTTCTCTGCCACCAGGCACCACAGAGACGTTACGTGAGCTCAAGATAAAGTGAACACCCTGTGTTATCGTTGCACAGTGTATGTAAAATAAATGCTTCGCCGACACCGCAGGTACTCCGCGCAGAAGAGGATGTCCCGGGGCGCAAAATCCATCATCCTACACGGTCATTACAAACGAGAAAGGTATTATACGTGTTAAAGTCATCTTCGATCCCTGCATCCGGCGAAGAAGACAAGTGGTTCACGCGGAGAGAAGAATATCCGGCTCGGAAAGACTGGGGAAGTGGTTCCTCTTGCTCCCTGTTCCTACCAGTTTTCCACCCTCTTCCTGCCTCTTCCGACGTCCTCTCCCGGAGGAGTTCCCTCTGGAACAGGGGCGCGTACCCGCGCAATAAAATGTCGGCTGCCGTGCCAAGCGACCGACAGATCACCGGGGCTTATTGAAAGGATATTTCATGTGGACGAGTTCTTCCTATCCAGCTTATCCGGCGAATACCCCGCGGGGTGTGGAAATCTTCCGGCTGCCTACTGTCTCTCTACCCTCCGGCGAAGAATCGAGCACTAGCTGGTTCTCCGAAGGATCCTGCCAACTGATCCTGAACCGACGCGAACTATTCGTAACGGATTTCGGTATGAATTGGACTGGACGGCACTAGGGAACACCTGCGGCTCTCCTACGTATCTTCGTTTTCGACGGGAAAGAATGCTAAGTTCAGCTGACACCTTTTAATCAAGTGTCAGAGGATGTTTAACCCTTTCGGTACGAGCGCGCTGTCCGCCGTGACACTCCCACCGTACGGGGTGCCGCGCCGAAAATGCGCACATAACGCAGGGTCGGTCCACTTTTGTACCAAGATTTTCTTAAGCGTTAAGGAATGACTGTGCTTAATCCGTTTCTAAATCTTTCTTTAAATGTTTCCTGTAAACATTCTGTGAAGGGCCTACAGAAATATGGCTTACATGGATGCCAGAGATGTATTCGGCACTCGTCCATATCGGTCGTCGGATGGATGCCGGATATATCCGGCGCTCGTACCGAAAGGGTTAACCGTTTGCGCTCTTCAGATTTTGTGTCGAGAAAAGCCAGGGCATTCGGCCGAAACAGACGACTCACGGCCTACCCGAAATTTGTCGAAACGTGCTCAGTCTTTCGGACGCATGTATACGTCGCGCGTCGCATCGCTGTCGGTAATCCAATTTGCATTTTGTTGTTACCTATTCGAAATTAATAGTATATATATTTTCATTCGTAACGTTTTATTTTATGTTTTACGGCTTTTTTCGACACACAATCGAAGGAGCGCTATCGCGCTCTTCGGCTTTCTTCGACACATAATCGAAGGAGCGCTATCGCGCTCTTCGGCGCTTTTCGATCCTGTTTTTTCAGAACCATCTGGTACGCAAACGGTTAACCGCTTGTACCGTGATATCGTGTCAGATTCGCGACGACGTTGTTCGAAAATTAAACACAAATACAATCTCAAGAAGGCGGGACCAATGCGCTGCAACATCTGCCACGAATCCACAATTCAGCAACTCCTATCGAGCTCGATTCTCAAAGGTGATACAAAGAGCCTTTTTATGGGAATTGTTTTTTGAGAATGCTTGTGCAACAATAAAAATGAGATTCGAAGGGTCCATTCTACAGATCTTCGAGTACTGAAGTCAATCTTTTATTTTACGAAAAAGTATAAAGCGACTAATCGGCGATATCTGACAATCATCGCGATAGACTCGAGCCAGACTGAACATTGACTTTTACTATTCATTTCGCTGATTTACATTACTGTTTTATTAAATCGCCACTTTTCAATCTCTATCAATCATTAACACGTTCCGTGCCGAGCTTTTTTTACTCGAATCTTCACACTTTGATATTTTACTAAAACTTGATGTATTACGTGCAATTATTAATTCTCGTACGCATAACAACGTAACAAAAACTTATCAACGCCCATTCTTGCGGTGGAAATTGATTCTTCGGTTCTAAATTTCTTGTAAACAATTTGTTCAGTTCACTAAGTAAACATGCAAGCGTGTACCATCGATGGTACACGTGGCACGGAACGTGTTAAATGAGATAGTAGAATTTTTGAAATCACGTCTTTCAACGAGAAAGACCTACCAAAAAGACATACTTATTCGTGTGTATACATTATAATGAAAAACAACCGAAAATCTGAATAAGATCATCTTTTTAATGTCTGTAAAACTTATGTTGCGAACATCGTGTCGGATGAAAATTATGGATACAAATAGCTAGAAATTATTCTATTGTGTTTGAAGCTACCGTTTCCACGTATCAAGGTAGCAGTTGTACGTGCTAAACCGATGGACGTGTGTACCTTGCGAGACACCGAGCTCGTGCACCCACAGCCCTTTCTGATTCTGATTTATTCGCGAGCGATCCGCTGCGTGAATGAAATTATGGATTTAATAAGCGGGACACGCACGACAGATGCGCAATTGCGCCTGTTTCACTGCACAGAGATGCCGGCGACTGTGCGATTGTTTCATTCCAGTTTGAGCGACTCTGCGACGCTGAGAAGATTGAATCAATTATGAATGACTCTCTTCAGTTCTCGAAGCTTGAAAACGCGATAAAGTAGAAACTCATCATTTTAACGAATTTGCAATTAGATTCTGATATCGTGTACTTTATTGCATAAAAAGCTTCGGCTCGTTATCTCGTCGATCGCGCATCCATATAGTATCATTAACGGTAGGTAGATTTTATGCAATTATGACAAAAACAAGTTGGCGCTGTTTAAGGTAGGAAAGCGATGAAATGGATTTAAGATTGTCAATGTATAATTTTTAATTGTTCGAGATTATGTGATTATATTACTGTTCGTCATTCTGAGATTATTTAATATATGTGTATTATTTTGTGTTACGTACTTAGTTCTGTGTTTGTATTTTTAATTTCCATTAAGTATATTCCTATTGAATTTTCTATTAAAAACTCACAACAATACGAGTTATATAATGAAACATTTTAATAATACAAATATTCAGAGACAATTACTTCAAAATATTGTTCAAGTAATAGTATGCACGTTCGTAGAAATTTCAAAATATTCAATCGAGAAGAAAATAGTTAAAAATATACAACGATCACCTGTAAAATAATTTACAATTTCTTTGTCACTACTGAAACCGAAGATCGTCGAGAACCCCTCAAGCACACTGGTATATCCGATTTTGAAAATCAACAGAGGAGCAACATTCGAAGTCAGTACACATATTGCGAATATAATAGTACATATCGCAAATGTTTCTTCCTTGCATACATGTGATCAAACCAAAAAGCCAGTTTCAATTATTCTCGATTAATTCAACCGGTACGATAATTTTCATTGCCAAAAGACTGTTCCCGCGAGTTCGTGCAGCATCCGTTTGCTCGCGCAGTAAACTTCAGAATTGCTCGCAACTAAGGAATAATTTTCTTAGGCAATTCAAGCATGAAACCGGGGATTTCTTAGCAAAGCGAGAGAGAATTTGTACTCACTGTGATTCCTGTATGCGAGCCTTGCTGTTGCGAATGTACAAGGCGCTCACGACACTGCCGACAACTAATATTAAGGCGCACGCACAAGTCGCAGCAATATAAAGTGCCCCGGCACCGTTTACCAGGGGTCCTGGTTCCAAACGAACCGAGTCGTTCCTCGGAGTGGTCTCCATTCCTCCGTTATCTAGACAAATAATAATTGAACAGATTAACGTTTTATCTTATTTTTACGTTAACTTCTTAACTTTTACATTTTTCTCACGTTCGGAACCATTTTATTAGTATTAGGCATTGGAAAGATTTTATTAGGCATTGAAAAATATTAGTGCTGATATATAATAATAAATAAAATAATAATCAATATTAATAAATAAATATTAATAATAATAAATAAAATAATAATATAATAATAGTAAATAAAATTATTAATAATAATAAATATTAGTGCTTTCGCTTTCTTCTGGTTGATTCTTCATATTCAAATATTTCAGTAACGTTTGAACGACTTTTCTCAAATTTGAACTTATGTATTCAATCGATTTCTCTTAAAACATGTCTGCGAGGTTTTTGAACTTCCACAAGCTTAAACTCGTAAAGCATGAAAGTTCGAATTTTCGGTGTCCATTTTAATGTTTGCGAAACAGTGCAACGTCGGAACAATTGAAATCTGAATGCATGCTACTTATCAATATCAAGCAGAAAATCAATTTGTGAGTAATATAGTAATGAAAGGAGCGTATGAACATTTTCCGGTACATAATAGTTTGGTTTTTCTGTCGTCGCTAGACTTGAATCAATTCTTTTCCATATTGGTTTACAAAAAGCCCTTTAGCTTGCGCGAAGCGGTCGAGCCAACGAGCGGTCGAAGCCCAGTTCCACTGATATTTGTGCAAATCAAAATTATTGCAATGAAGCTACTGCAAATAAGGTAAAATTTTAGTTACAAGATTTATAGTTAAATTACTAGATTATTATTTTCATTACTAGATTCATTAAAAATATTCGACTGAAAGGTATAATGCTAAGTTGTTGCGGTTGAATTGTTCTTGGATTACTTGTAAAACTTATAAATTCATATTACTAACATCGGTGGTTCCGATGCATGAAACACAATTTAAAAAATGTGAAGTCCTCTAAAAAATAATTTCTAACACTCCCAGATGGCACAAAGACGTTTAATGTAGGACATTCGGAACGTCTTATGGACGTCTTTAAGACGTCCTGTATACGTTTCCAGGACACATGGCCCTACCATGAAGTACATGGCTCGCCACACACCCGAGCAGTACCGATCTCAATAACCGACATTTTAGTGACACTTCTCCCGGTGGTCACTATTATAACGGATGAACTTCTGGAAACGCTGTCTTTATAGAAAGTGAATTGCTGATCGATGCGCTCTTGACAACAACCTTTTGTATAAAAAGAAACAAAATTCACATCGTCATTTTTATGTTCTAGTTCCATCGTCTGTATTAAAGTTGTATTTAAAAGCAATTGACTGATTTATTTAAAACACCATAAAAACAAAAAAAACGTCTAGAAACAGAGATTTTAAAGACGGCTCGAAAGAGACTGAAGACAGACGTCTTTAAGACGTCATGTTGCAGACTTTAAAAGGACACCTTAAAGACGTCCATTTTAGGGCGTACAACGTCTATACCTAAAATGGACGTAAAATGGACGTCTTTAAAACGTCTAGCTTATTGGGCTTTATTTACTAGTGTAGCTTAATAACTTTCATTTAAATACTAATTCCAAAAGAAGTTGTTACATTATTCTATCCAAGTACTTCGTTGGGTTATTATCGTTTCGAATAATATTCTCAGCAATTCTCAGCTGTTTCGATCTTAAAAGAACTGCTAGAAAATTAGTATTAATCATCGGTTAGTCTCATTTTGCAAAATGAACCTCCAACTGTATTAAACATTAAACTGAATCCCAAGGAAACGAATATACCCAAAAATCAGCAGACAAATTCCAGCCAATTTTCCACTCAACGCACAATTCACGGAACATTTTGGTGCGCGGGAATAAACGCCGCGAATCTCATCGCACGGCAAACAGGTTGGAACCGGTAGCAGCGCAAACACATCAATTAAAGCGTCGCAGCTAATAAATATCTCGTTAAACTATTTTCGGTGGCCGGGTGTTTAATTTGCACAAATCCCGCGGTTTAATGCAAATTGGTGGCCAGGACCGGTCCGTGCCCTTTTCGGCGGTTCCGGGCGCCGTCCTTCTTTGTCCGTCGAGCGAGGCGGGCCGGCGGGACGATGGCGGGCGGGTCCAGCGTTTTCGCCAGAATAAATAACGCAAGGCAGACGGATGAACTTTACACGATAACCGACAGGAACGTTCGCGGAACACTCGGCCGAGGAGAAATTTGCTGGAGCGCGATGAGATATGCGCCGGAAACAAGGTGGCCGGGGGGTGGAAAAAGTTAAATAAATCGTGCGGGCTCCAGCTGCCTTCGGAGCCGGTGGTGGTCCCGGCTACTTCGAGGGATCTTTGCTCCTTTATTTACGGGGGCGGGGGCGGGCGTTGCGACGTCTTTTTAAAATGTCCGGCTCTTACGCGGCACAATGCTCGCCGAAGCGCACCGCCGCGCCGCCGAACTTTTTAAGTAACTTTAGTTTTCATTCCGTCTGCCCGTCCGTTGCGTCGCGCCGTGTCAGTCCGTCTCTATGTAATTTTAGTCGGAGAACTCGTTCCGAGGATGCCGTTACGTTTCTGTTGTTTCTTCGTCCGTCCGCTTCCACGGCCGACCAATTGAATTGTTGCCGCGAGTTTACTTGTTTCATGATTATTCTCTCGGCTAGCCGGCGTAATTACCGTGTGAGGGGCAATTGCAGCTTCCCTACCGCGAAATCGTTTGTGTTTCTTAACATAAACGGTGCACCCGCACGCGTTATCCGCCGCCATTCAAGACGCCGGTTTCACGGTTTTCAGGACTTTCACGGTCTGCAGAAGAAACCAAAGTATCCCGGTCCGTTGTTTTCGTAATTGTTGTTCCTTCGGATCCCGGGCTCATCCTGGATGGATATATATATATTTGATTGTTATTTGCCTTCTTTTCCGCTTGCTTCCAACATTTCCTTGGAACTGGAACGTTTGTTTATTCGTTACGGCTGAGTCGGACTCTTTCATGTTCGCGTTTTGAGCTAGTTGAAATAAGTCAAATAATGTCTAATACTATCAGATAGCATAGAAACGTCTGGCGCAGGACATTCGGGACGTCTTGCAATAAAATTACTCGAGCTTGCAGTTTTGGATGTTTATCCCAACAGTGTCTAGTAGACGATACGAAACAACGAATGTGAAAACAATTTGCACAAATCGATAGAACGAACCATGCGCTTCACGATGGCATGACACACGAACGTATTCAAATAACAATTTATCCTAGAGCAGGGGTGTCAAACTCGCGGCCCTAGATGAATATTTTTGATGTCAAGTATCAGGACGTAAACAATAATTTAACTTTATATATATGTTTATTACAATGTACTAGTCAAAATAAAAATATTTGTTTCTATGAACATTGATTGCTTTTTTGCGGCCCACCTAAAGTTAAGCATCGTTTATTTATTATCATGGCCCAAGTTAGCTTTTGAGTTTGACACCCCTGTCCTAGAGGGGGACAAACTCAAGTTTGAAACGACGAAAACAATGAATATTTTTCCAAAAAGTGCAAATAGAATAAACGAGTAAAATATATATTTGATCGCTCGTACTAGATAGTTAGTAAAGATAAATACATGAGTAAATTAAAATATTTTAATCCCGTAATCAGAATGTTTAACTTTAATTTCCTAGCGTTTCGATATAGTCAACGCGAACCGACGGCTGCAATTCTTGTCTACCCTGCGATATATATCGCCGGCTTTGAGCTGATAAATTCGTTGAAGCACTTTCGTACATCGTTTACTGAATTAAACCGTGCGCCTATTAAAGGATGTTGCAACGACTAAATCAGACGGAGCCATGTTCAGCGAATAAGCAACATGAAGGAGAACTTCAAAGCACGTGGAGAGAACGACGTCCTTTGTTGCTTTTGCTGCGTGTGGACGCTCGTTGTCATGAAGTAAAATCGGTTGACGTTTACCTCGACTAGTAAATGGCCTCTCAATATTACATCAGCGCGGAGAGTACGATCAAAAAGAAACTCTACTGTATCGGTTACAGTCACTTCTTTGCGCTCTTGTGAAACGGTCTGCCAATTTTCATCGAATGTCTTACCTACGAACATAAACGATCTCCGTGATACGTTCAAATAAGTTAGCTGGTCGGTTCGTTATTTCAATA